GTAGTTCAGGTTAGCCACCGAGTCAAAGCTGGCTTGCTGCAGTCAAACTCCACCATCCCCTTTGTTGATAATGATGCATATGTAGATAGTTCTGATGTAAGTCTTGCTGGGTACATTTGTACTCACGTTTGCCTATTTTATGTTTTTGCAGAGAGACTTCGGTCTCGCTAGTAGATTCACGTGGACTTCGACGTTTAGCTTGATACCTCAGCTATGATCTTGTGCCCTCGGCAGGATCTGATAGATAGTCAGGCTTCTCAGCCTTTTTCATTTATAGTTGTCTGTACTCAGACATGATAGCTTCCGCTTGTGCTTTGACTTGTATGCTCTGAGTGTTGGGTCATGAGACCCATGTTTGTAATATCTCGCTCCTCGGAGCCTATTGAATAAACTACTTGAGTCGTAGAGTCATTTTGTGATGCCATGTTGTATTGCACATATCGAGCATATTGTGTGTATGTTATTGAAATGCTTGGTATGTGTGGGATCTGACCATCTAGTTGTTTATCTTTAGTAGCCTCTCTTACCGGGAAATGTCTCCTAGTGTTTCCACTGAGCCATGGTAGCTTGCTACTGCTCCGGAACACTTAGGCTGGCCGGCATGTGTCCTTCTTCGTTCCTGTGTCTGTCCCCTTCGGGGAAATGTCACGCGATGAATACCGGAGTCCTGTTAGCCCGCTACAGCCCGGTTCACCGGAGTCCTGCTAGCCCAGTGCTACAGCCTGGATTCACTCGCTGATGACCGACACGTTCGATGCTGGGTCATGGATGCCTGTCCCTGTAAGTCTGTGCCACTTTGGGTTTACGACTAGCCATGTCAGCCCGGGCTCCTTATCATATGGATGCTAGCGACACTGTCATATACGTGTGCCAAAAGGCGCAAACGGTCCCGGGCAAAGGTAAGGCGACACCCGTGGGAATACCGTGCGTGAGGCCGCAAAGTGATATGAGGCGTTACATGCTAGATCGATGTGGCATTGAGTCGGGGTCCTGACATTAGGACAACAACGACATATTTGTTACTTGCTGCGGTAGCTGAACCCCTTTATCCTCTGCATGACCTGTCATTCCACAGTAATTAGATGAAACCCACTAGCATGAGTAGGAGTTGTGTGAGCCCTGATGTGCCTACTCATTCATGCTTGTTTGTCATGCCTGCTACTGCTTAGAGTTGAGTCAGGTCTGATTCATCGGAGATGAATCAGAGGCGTGTGAACATGTCCTACTGTGCGAGAGCTAAGTGTGTGAACACGATTTGGTAAAGGTAGCGGTGAGAGGCCATGTAGGAGTACATGGTGGGTTGTCTCATTGCAGCCGTCCTCAGGAACTGAGTTCTGTGTTTGTGATCCATGATTCAGCTACTACCACGCATTGGGCCCGAAACCAATGGACCCTCTCGGCTTCTTGATCACCCTTGTCCTCTGTCCAGGAGTTGCAAGTAGTTTCTGGTGTTTGTAGTATGCTGGAGGCCGTGGGCAGCGCTGACCGTAGGGGTGGGCTGTGATGCGGTAGGCACGTGGCCGGGTAAACCGGGCACCCGTTTGGTGTCACGGGACCCTGTACACATCGTTTGGGGCTGTGAGCGAAACTCCGGCCGGATCTCCTCATGGATGGAACCCGAATAGGCGATAAACCTGGACTAGAGACTTGAGTGTTTAGGCAGGCCGTGGCCGACACCCACGTTGGGCTTCCGCTTGAAGGTTGCCGAGTACATGTCGTGTAAACGGCGGTAAGTGGTGAGAGCGTGTGTGAAGAAGTACACCCCTGCAAGGTTAATATGATCTATTCGAATAGCCGTGTCCGCGGAAAAGGACTTCTGGGTTGCTTATATCAGTTCATAGACAAGTGAAAGTGGATACTCTAAAATACGCAAGATAAGCGTGAGTGCTATGGATGGCGTTCTCGTAGGGAGACGGGAGCGGATCCATAGTGGTGTATTGATATGGTGAATATGTGGACTCGTGTGCGCCACCTCAAAAAAGTTACTCGCAGTCATAGTTCAGGATAGCCACCGAGTCAAAGCTGGCTTGCTGCAGTTAAACCCCACCATCCCTTTGTTGATAATGATGCATATGTAGATAGTTCTGATGTAAGTCTTGCTGGGTACATTTGTACTCACGTTTGCCTATTTTATGTTTTTGCAGAGAGACTTCAGTCTCACTAGTATTTCCGCGTGGTCTTCGACGTTTAGCTTGTTACCTCAGCTACGATCTTGTGCCTCGGCAGGATTTGGTAGATAGTCAGGCTTCTCAGCCTTTTTCATTTATAGATGTCTGTACTCAGACATGATAGCTTCCGCTTGTGCTTGATTTGTATGCTCCGAATGTTGGGTCATGAGACCCATGTTTGTAATATCTCGCTCCTCGGAGCCTATTGAATAGATTACTTGAGTCATAGAGTCATGTTGTGATGCCATGTTGTATTTGCACATATCGAGCATATTGTGTGTATGTTATTGAAATGCTTGGTATGTGTGGGATCTGACCATCTAGTTGTTTATCTTTAGTAGCCTCTCTTACCGGGAAATGTCTCCTAGTGTTTCACTGAGCCATGGTAGCTTGCTACTGCTCCGGAACACTTAGGCTGGCCGGCATGTGTCCTTCTTCGTTCCTGTGTCTGTCCCTTCGGGGAAATGTCACGCGATGAATACCGGAGTCCTGTTAGCCTGCTACAGCCCGGTTCACCGGAGTCCTGCTAGCCCAGTGCTACAGCCTGGATTCACTCGCTGATGACCGACACGTTCGATGCTGGGTCATGGATGCCTGTCCCTGTAAGTTTGTGCCACTTTGGGTTTACGACTAGCCATGTCAGCCCGGGCTCCTTATCATATGGATGCTAGCGACACTGTCATATACGTGTGCCAAAAGGCGCAAACGGTCCCGGGCAAAGGTAAGGCGACACCCGTGGGAATACCGTGCGTGAGGCCGCAAAGTGATATGAGGTGTTACATGCTAGATCGATGTGGCATTGAGTCGGGGTCCTGACAATCCTTTCCATCATACTCACAAAAGATATTAAAAAGGTGAAGCGTATGAGACAAACTTAACTCTATTTTTTTGTAATTTTCTTTTATAGACTAACTAGTGCTAAAACAAGAAACAAAAAGATTCGATTGCAAGATCTAAAGATATACCTTCACTTACCTAGCCTCCCCGGCAACGGCGCCAGAAAAGAGCTTGATCTCTACTACACAACCTTCTTCATGTAGACGTTGTTAGGCCTGCAAGTGCACAGATTTGTAGGATAGTAGCAAATTTCCCTCAAGTGGATGACCTAAGGTTTATCAATCCGTAGGAGGCGTAGGATCAAGATGGTCTCTCTCAAGCAACCATGTAACCAAATAACAAAGAGTCTCTTGTGTCCCCAACATACCCAATACAATGGTAAATTGTATAGGTGCACTAGTTCGACGAAGAGATGGTAATACAAGTGCAAAATAGATAGTAGATATAGGTTTTTGTAATCTGAAAATATAAAAACAGCAAGGTAACAAATGATAAAAGTGAGCGTAAACGGTATTGCAATGATAGGAAATAAGGCCTAGGGTTCATACTTTCACTAGTGCAAGTTCTCTCGACAATAATAACATAGATAGATAATATAACAAGCCCTCAATATGCAATAAAGAGTCACTCCGAAGCCACTAATAGTGGAGAACAAACGTAGAGATTATGGTAGGGTACGAAACCACCTCAAAGTTATTCTTTCGGATCAATCTATAAAAGAGTTCGTACTAGAATAACACATTCAGATACAAATCAACCAAAACCCTAATTTCACCTAGATACTCCATTGTCACCTCAAGTATCCATGGGCATGATTATACGATATGCATCACACAATCTCAGATTCATCCAACCAACATAAAAGTACTTCAAAGAGTGCCCCAAAGTATTTACCGGAGAGTCAAGAACGTGTGACAACCCCTATGCATAGGTTCCCAATGTCACGAAACCCGCAAGTTGATCACCAAAACATACATCAAATGGCACATAATATCCCATTGTCACCACAGATAATCACGGCAAGACATACATCAAGTTTTCTCATAAAAGACTCAATCCGATAAGATAATTTCAAAGGGGAAACTCAATTCATCACAAGAGAGTAGAGGGGGAGAAACATCATAAGATCCAACTACAATAGCAAAGCTTAGGATACATTAAGATCGTATCACCTCAAGAACACGAGAGAGAGATCAAACACATAGCTACTGGTACATATCCTCAGCCCCGAGGGTGAACTACTCCCTCCTCGTCATGGATAGCGCCGGGATGATGAAGATGGCCACCGGTGATGGGTTCCCCTCAGCCTGTGCATTCGGTTTTTTCGGTTTGATTCGGTTCGGTTTATACGGTTATTGGTTTATACGGTTTTTATACTTCGGTTTATACGGTTTTATACATAGATACGGTTTGGTTTCGGTTGTAACCGTTTGCTTTCGGTTCGGTTTCGGTAATAACCAAATTAACCAAAGTTGACGCGAACTTCTGATCAACACATGGTTTTGCTACATGAAGAAACAAATTTAGTACATGTCCAATACAAGTAGGGGGTACAAGCACAGCCTAGTGACGTGTTTGAAGAAATTCTAGACAATTTATGTTCCAGTACAAAGCACTTATAGTACATACAAGCACAATCCAGTGCAAGGTCAAGACTCAAGACTACAAGTACAAGCAGTCAAGCACCAGCAGAACTGCACAATAACACAAGGCACAAATCAATCTAGTACAAGCACTTAGTACATGTCCAGTACAACAACATGAAGAAATTCTGGAACAACAACATGAAGATAATAAACTCCATTACAAGTTCATATGAAATTCTGGCGCATAAGCTGAGTACAGGTACAATAAATTCTAGAACAAGCAAGTTCAACACAGCCAAAGTTCAACATAGCGCAAAATGGGTTCAACACATGACTGATGACACACACAAACTTCATCACTTCAGGCAGCAACTTGCACAAGTTTCCACTCCAGTTCCACACATGAAGATCAATCAATCGATATTACACCATTATCGTCCAATCGAAGGGCTCCCACACCTACAAAAAGTAACAGAAATATTGCATGATCGAGTAAATAACATAAATTTTGCATGGTCATTGAAATAACTGAAATGCACACCCATTTAAGTACCTTCCTCCAGTTTGGTCAACTCAGCAAGATCGAGTTCAACATTGATAGGCTTACTACGCAACCAATCTTGCGTACATATCAACGCTTGGAGTGTCACTGGTGTCAAAGAGCTTCTGAAGTCATCAAGAATACGGCCACTAGTGCTAAAAGCTGATTCAGAAGCAACCGTTGAGATGGGGATTGCTAGTATATCATGAGCCATTTTTGACAGGACAGGAAAGCGAGCAGCATTCAACTTCCACCACTCAAGAAGGTCAAATTCTGCAGTCAACTCTTCGGTATCCTCAGCTAGGTACTTGTCTAATTCAGTTCTCATATTTGAGCTAGTGCTACCCTCTCCACAAGATCTCATTCTCTTCTTGTTGTAGCGTGATCTCATAAGAGAATTTTCAGAAGCATTTTCACTAGCACGAGCTTGTGATGCTAATTCACTAGTAGAACTGGTTCCATACAATTCTTTGTATTCTCCAAAAAGAGAGACAAATTCGTTGTGTGAAGAAGTCAAGATTATGTTACCTATTATACAACCATAGGTGTCTTCAATCATGTCCTTAAAGAAATGAGATTCCTTGGTCCTTGCATAAAGAATTAAGACAAGACAAGGCAAGTTAGAAAGACATTAAGAACAACATACATATAGTTGACAAAAGAACAACAGCCAGTCAACCACATACCTAGGATCAAGGATGGCGGCAATGAATATATATTTGTTCATCTTTTCAGGATCACCCCAATACTTCTCATACTTCGCTTTCATCTTGAGAGCCATGCATTTAAATATTTCATCATCACCACAGATCACATGATCACTCCATTCACCCAACAAAAAGTTAACATCAACAATCTCTTCCAAGAAGGTGTTGGTTGTAACATACTTGGTGCCAGAAACCTTATTCGTGAGGTCATAGAAGTGTTGGAGGAATTGTTTGAACTCACGAACATATACCCAATCACTTTGAGTTGGAGGACCCCGTTGGTCAAGAGCATCGGGCTTAGGTTCTGGACCAGTTTTTTCTAACTCGGTCTTGTAGTTGGGATCATGAAGTGCATATTGCTCAAATGCCCTCTCAAATTTCTCAACATTGTCTAGCATTACAAATGTAGAGTTCCATCTAGTAGCCACATCAATATTAATCAAACCTTTGCTCGCTACCTTGCTTAGCTGCACACACTTCTTAAATACATCCAGTCTAGTTGGGGAGGCTCTAACAAACTTGATAGCATGGCGAATTCTGTTTACAGGATGGCACATTATCTTTAGCCCATCTTGAACCACAAGATTAACAATGTGAGCCACACACCTCATGTGAAGATATTGACTTCTTGCATGTGTGCAGCCCCTATTAGTCAAAGATCTCTTCATGTAGGCTAAGCAGGTGTCATTAGAACTCGCATTATCTACTGTAATAGTGCACACTCGTTCAATGCCCCACTCAATCAGTAATTTTTCTAACGATTTCCCAATATCGTCCCCTTTGTGTCCATCTACCAAGACAAAGCTAATAATTTTTTTCCTAAGGTTCCATGAAGAATCGATGAAATGTGCAGTAAGAACCATGTAGCTTTGCTGTCTTTTTGATGTCCATGTATCAGTGGTGAGGCAAACAGTTTGACGTGAATCGATGAAATACTTTCTAAGCATAGCTTTCTCAGTTTCATAAAGAGCAATGATATCTCTATACATAGTGGTCCTAGATGGCACATTGAACCTAGGGCAAGCTTTAGACATGAAGAACCTAAATCCTTCTTTCTCTGCAAATATGAACGGAAGCTCATCTATCACTATCATGCGAGCAAATGCTTCTCTAACTTCTTTCTCATTGTATTGCCAAGGAACCACAGAATTGCCATCATCACAAACTTGGTAGGTAAGCTCGGTCTGATTGCTACCGATGTGGGCAGGATTCTTTTTGCAAATCTTCAAATGGTTTACTAAAGAAGCAGTACCTGCCGATGTGGATTTGCAGCCTAATATAGCACTACAATAGTTGCAGTTTGCATGATCTGGATCATCGTTCTGAATTGTGAAGTGTGCCCATGCCTTTGACCTCTTGTTCCTTTTCTTGCTAACACTGTCAGGGGTAACATCAGGTTGTGTTTCAGGTAAGGAAGAGGAACCATGACTAGCAGCATAACCAGCACCAAGATTGACACTATCGGACACCTGAAGAAATAAGTTAGGTAGTTCCCATTCAGATTAGTACTAACAACAGAACCAACAGTGGAAAGTAATGAAATAATTGTTCAGTAGCAAACAGACACTACTGCAACTGAACGGAAGTGCTTGTATTTCTCAGCCAGTAGCCCACTACTAGTTACTACTGCAGCCGAACTAGCAAATGCTTTTTTTTCTCAGCCACTCCTACTGCAAGTCTGCAACCAAACTGAACCAACTAATGTATGTATCATGAGATCAGGGAGATGCTATGCTACTGAACAAGTATCCAACCAGATCGAACTAAAGGTCAAAGAATGGGCTTACCATGATGGCGTCCACGGCTCGCGTTGCTCCGTGGAAGCGTGCGTCGGCGAGCACGACGGCGGACGGAGCCGCGGAGGTCAGCGAGTCTGCGACTCAACAACGTGGAGGAAAGAGGGCAGAGCCGGAGGTCAGCGGCGATGCGGAGGACGGATGGCGGAGGTCAGCGTCGCCGGTGTGTGCGATGGAGGACGAAAGGCGGAGATGGACGGAGGCACGGAGCTTCGCCTGCTGGGGGGTGGAGCCGCGGAGGGGGCGGATGGATGCGTCGGACGGCCGGAGTATGACCTAGCTAAGCTAGGGCGCCGCCGCCGCCACCCATATTCTGCTCTGCGCGGCTGGCCTCTCTCGGTCTCTTTCCTCTGTGTCAGGGATTGGGGTCTGGGACTGGGCCACTGGGGGTGTCGCTTGTGAGTTGCCCTAGGGGCTAGGGCAATTGGGCTAGGTTGAAGGAATAAAGGAGAAGGCCCAGTTTGGCTGGCCGACTGGGCTTGTAATTTTTTTATGTTGCTGGGCTTTCGGTTTAGTTCGGTTTAACCAAAAAAATTCAGTTTCAAACCGAAAAAACCGAATTGAGTATGGTTTTCAATTTTGTAAACTGAAACCATAACCAAAACCTGAAAAAACTGAATTTTCGGTTCGGTTTAGTTTTTTCGGTTCGGTTTTTGGTTTTCGGTTCGGTTTTGCACAGGGTGAGGTTCCCCCTTCAGCAGGGTGCCGAAACGGGCTCCCAAGAGGTTTTTGGTGGCTACAGAGGCTTGCGGCAGCAGAACTCCCGATCTATCTTCTGTTCTGGAAGTTTTAGGATACAAGAGTATATATGGGTGCAGGGGGTATGTCGGAGGAGCTACGAGGGACCCACGAGGCAGGGGGTGCGCTCGGGGGGGCACCCTCGTGGGCAGCTCGTATCTCCCCTGACGTGCACTCCAAGTTCCCTGGGTTGCTTTCCTTCCAAAAATAACTTCTCCAGTTGATTTCGTTCTGTTTTGACTCCGTCTGATATTTCTTTTCCCCGAAACACTGAAATAGTCATAAAACAGCAAATCTGGGCTGAGCCTCCGGTTAATAGGTTAGCCCCAAAAATAATATAAAAGTGAATAATAAAGCCCAATATTACCCAAAACAGTAGATAAAGTAACATGGAGCAATCAAAAATTATAGATACGTTGGAGACGTATCACACGTCGCAGCCCTACCTAGGCACAACAGAGAGGTCAGCACGCCGGTCTAAATTCTATGACGCAGGGGTCTGGGCCCATCACCCATTGCACACGTGCACGTTGCGAGGGCGGCCGGAAGCAGAACTAGCCCCCTTAATACAAGAGCAGGCTTACGTTCCAATCCGGCGCGCGCCGCTCAGTCGCTGACGTCACGAAGGCTTCGGCTGATACCACGACGTCGAGTGCCCATATCTTTTCCGCGTAGTTGGTTAGTGCGTATAGGCCAATGGCCAGATTCAGATCAAATATCAAGATCTCGTTAAGCGTGTTATTATGAAGCAACCGCGAATGCCGACTAGGGCCAGGCCCACCTCTCGCCTAGGTGGTCTCAACCTGCCCTGTCGCTCCGCCACAAAGATCCACACAGAGGGTCGTCGGGACAAATGTCCTTTCAGCCCCCAACCCGTGAATCACTCGTAGGTACTCAACGAGCCGACCCGACTTTAGTCACCATCTGTATAGTATGTATATATATAGTATATACCCGTGATCATCTCCCGAATGATCACGACCCAATAGTATAGCAAGGCAGACTGACAAGAATGTAGGGCCAATGATGATAAACTAGCATCATATACTAAGCATTTAGGATTGCGGATAAGGTATTAACGACTTTAGCAACAATGACAGGCTATGCAATAGAATAGGAGTAACCGAACAGTAACATGCTACACTACTCTAATGCAAGCAGTAGAGAGAAGAATAGGCAATATCTGGTGATCAAAGGGGGGGCTTGCCTGGTTGCTCTGGCAAGGAGGGGTCGTCAACTCCGTAGTCAAACTGGGGGTCGCCGGCAGTCTCGAGGTCTACCGGAAAGAAGTAACGAAGGAGGAACACAATAAATAACAGAGCAATCAAAGCATCACAAAGGGTAACATGGCAATACGCGGTGCTAGGTGTGTCCTAACGCGGTAGTAGGTGATACCGGCGAAAGGGGGAAACATCCGGGAAAGTATCCCCGATGTTTCGCGTTTTCGGACAGGTGATACAGAGAGGGAAAGTTGCGTGTTCGTTATGGTAGGTATGTGTGGCGGACGAACGGGTTGCGTATCCAGATTCGTATCGTCGCTCTGAGCAACTTTCATGTATAAAGTTTTTCCATCCGAGCTACGGTTTATTTATTATGATTTTTTTAAAGTTTTAATAATATTTTGGAATTGTTTTAATTATTCAATTCAAATTAAAAATAGTAAATACTTTTGTCACCTAGTGCTACTCTAGCATGTGTGTATGACAGTGGGGCCAGTGGGGTTGGGTTGACCCAGTCAACAATTGACTAGTCAACCAATAAATAGTACAAGTGGGGCCTACTTGACATTGAAACAGACTTTTAAGTAGGCTTTTTTTAAGAAATAAGATAGGCCCACATGACATAGACTACATCTAGACCAAGTCAATCAATTTAGTCAACATAGGGGGATTATTTTAGCACTATCGGAGATTAGTTTCTAATCTCAACAGGGGCCGACCCAGGTGGTAGTGGCCTAGGCGGCCACACACACACACGAACACACACACAACACACACGGCGCATACACACACTGCCATGGAGGAGAGCAACCGTACCTAGCTAGCAAGCATCAGGTAACAGCAGCAGTAGTGGTTAGGAGCGGTAGCAGCGTAGAGCAGCAGTGGTGCAAGAGCAGTAGCAAGTAGCAGCAGAATCGCACAGGCGGCAAGGCCGCGGAGCAGAGAGCAGTAGCGGCAAGCCGAGCAGCTGCAGCGGCACAGCAGCAACAGCACGAGCTGCAGCTGCAAGCTGAATCAACGCAGCAGCAACGACAGTAGGCGGAGCAGGGACTGCGGGCGGCGGCTTCAGCAGAAGCAGCACCTGCAGTTTCAGCGGAAGCAGCAGCACGCGGACAACAGCACGAAGTGAGCGGGGTGCGGGGTGGTGCACGGGCGAGCCAGGCGTGGCCCGGTGCGGCCGAGAGCAGCCGTCTTAGCGCAGTAGCAGCGGAAGGCAACCTCGAGCGGGACGACAGCCGTGGTGAACATGGCGAGTGCGCGTACACAGTAAGTTTCAGGCGTTGCCACGGTAGGTGGCGGATGGTGGCCTACGGTGACTAAAACGATGGGGAAAAGGGGGAAAACGACGCTGCTCACCGGGGGATGGTCGATGGTGAGCTCGTACGGGGCCGGGGTGGACGAGGTGGTGTGAATCGAAGGCCATGGCGATGGCGACGGAGGAGGGAGGAGGTGACGATGGCGACGATGGAGCAAAGCTCCGGCCGAATGGATCCCCGTAGACGATGCAGACGATGACGACGCATCTCCTGGGCGTACTCCCGAGCGACGGCGACGACGGTGGCCACGGAAACGATGGCGAGGCAGCGGTCACCATGAGCTGTTCGAGCTCAGATTTGGGAAGAAGAGGAGGGGGCCGATGGGGGGAAAGAGGGGGGAATGGATGAGGGCGAGCTAGGGTTTCGTGGGGGCGCTTTTATCGGCCGAGGGGAGTCGACGTGGTGGCCATCCGGCCATGGCACCGTGGGATGGCCGCCACGCCATGGCCCCTGTCTCCTGTATGTTACAGAGAACAGAGGAAGGGGGAAAGTCCATGGTGGGATTGGGCCGTGCTACTGTAACACTAGGCTTCTAGTGCACAGTGTGCACTTAGCCCCCTTTTCCACTTTTCAAATTTTCTGTTTTGTATTTTATCCACCATTTGGTATTTTAATTTAATACCGAATAAGTTTTGTTGAATCCAAAACTTGTCACGTAAATAGTAGGCAATGTTTTGAGCTAGCACACAAGATTTCAAGTGGTTTGGAAATACATAAACATTTCTTTATTTTGAAAAGGCAATTTTAGTTGTTGTCGGGTCACTTTATATTTTACTAGGGGTTAAACTGGTGAGTAAAATGATGTTGGTTTCTACATGATAATTACTTAGTGAATACATGCAACAACTCGAACATTTTAGTTTTATTTTTCGAAAATTTTTGTTGTTCGCCTATATTTTAAATTTGAATTTGAATTGTTTTGAATTAACGCTAGTTTATCAACAGTAACTGAGGTGACGTGGCATCATTAGTACATGTTTACTGTAGCCTAATTATCCGGGCGTCACACAACCTTGTCTATCCCACCATGGCCATCGCTCACGAAGGACTTTCCTCACTCGGGTAGATCTTCACGAAGTAGGCGATCTCGTTGCCCTTACAAACTTCTTGGTTCAACTCCACAATGTTGTCGGAGGCTCCCAAGCGACACCTAACCAATCTAGGAGACACCACTCTCCAAAAGGTTATAGATGTTATGTTGATGATGAAGTCTTTTCTCTTGTGCTTCAAATGATAGTCTCCCCACCACTCAACTCTCTCACAGATTTGGATATGGTGGAAAGATGATTTGAGTGGAAAGCAAGTTGAGGAAGGCTAGAAATCAAGAAACTTGTGGTTGGATTGGAATGTATTGATCTCAACACATGATTAGGTGGTTCTCTTTTTGAAAATGTAAGTTGGAAGTGTAGGCACGTCCTGATGGCTCTCTCACATATGAAGAAGGGGTGGGGGGGGGTATATAGCTTCCACATAAAATCCAACCGTTACACACATTTGACCCAACTCGGCCAGACCAAATAGAAGAATTTGGTGAGACCGATTTAGTTCAAAATATGAATGTTAGGAATCTCGGTGGGACCGACTAGAACAACTCGATGGGACCGATGTGCTAGGGCTTAGGGAAAACATCAACTCGGTGGCACCGATTGCATCAAATCGGTGAGACCGAAGTGAAGCAATAGGGCAACAGAGATAATGTCCAGCCAACTCTGTGTGACCG